GATCAGACGTAAATAAAATTTTTTAACCTTTTTTATCTCAGATTGCTCGTCTCGACTTAACCGTTTAGTTTGCTCGCTTCAATTTTCAATAATCCTTGAATAAGTTTCTGATAAATAACAGAATAACAGTAGTAATGATTTTCGATTATACGGGTAAATAAAGAAGACAGACAAAATGGAAATAAATAAATTAATGATAAAAAAATACAGACCCTTATCTGCTGCGCACCGAAAAATCGATAACGTTTACAAAAGTTCTGACATTGAAATTATTTATAATATTATTACGGTGTGTAAATACATAAATAAATATAAGTCTGCCAAGCTTAATTTTATTTTATCGGGCTTCAATGAATAGAATTAAATGGGTAATAAATTCATTCACATAATAAAATATTTACTTCAAATATAGATTAATAATTTTCCATTTGAGTCAACTTAACTCGGCGTTTTTAGTGGAATTAAAATTAGGTTTTTATTCATCTGAAAAGATTTTTCTGCGTGAGAGATTATTAAAATTATTTAAATAATAAATATTCTTAAAAAATACCGAACGTATTTAAATATTAAACATCAGCGTCCAGAATTATTAAATTGAATCCAGAAGCCTAGCGTTTATTGATTTTTCTCATAGAAACACGTCACATGGTCTAATTATTTGGAATTATTTTTCTAGTCTCGTTTGTCAAAAGTCACGAGTTTTATTTGACAGTTTTTTTATGCTTGTATATGATGATAAATAAAATTATTATTCATAAGATACTTTATACTGAAAATGTGATATGGTTTTTATATAAATTTGCGGGCAGTGAGTGAGTATACTTGATACGCATGTAATAATATTATTATTGATATAAGAAGAAAAAAATTTAATATCACTGGTATTATTTGAGGCATCATTATCCTCACCGCTAATTGACAGTTATATCAGCAAATGTGGTTCTGGTACTTGCGACCTCTCACTGATCCATTCTGTTTACTCATTGTACAAAATGCGTTTAAAAACACGCAAGTTTTTTTTAAGTATCTTCTCAAAATAATTATAAATTTAATATTTAAAAAAAAATGTAATTTTAAAATAAATATTACGCAAAAGAAAGAACAATTGAATTTTTTTAATTTGTAATGTAAATTTTAATAGTCAGGTGCTTCGAGCAAAAAAAAAATTGAAAATTTACAGTTTCAAAAATTCTGTAAGAAGTTTATTTTAAAAATTAATTTCAAATAATATTTTTGTGAAATGCAAAAAATTGATCAAAGGTTTAGACAAAAAGTAGACTATTATTATGTAATTTTTATTTTATGACGTTTCTATTATCATGATGTCGCTCACGTTGCAATTATGAGTCTGTTTTTTTTATTTAGTTAATGGATTTTTTTTATCAAATGTAGAGATCGTATATTGATTAATTAATTGAACAATTTATTAATGTAATGTTATATTGTTCATGACGAGTATTTCGGATCTTAAAATACTTTATGACTTACTGTCATGGTTTTTTTCTGAGCTTGATGTAGACTAAATAAATAATTTAAAAGTCGTAAAATAAACATTTTACGATAGTCTGTTTTTTATCCTTACCTTTGATCAATTTCTTTTACATTGTACAATCTGGATGTGATTAAAAAATAAAAAAAGTTTGGAAAATCCAAAAGTGCACGCCTCATAATCTCATTTTTTAAAATAAAATTGATTAAAATAAAATATAGAAAGCAAAATAATAAAAAACAGAAAACATTTCTATGGTTTAGTGGCGCCATAACTGCAAGGTGAGGAAAAAAAATACTATAATAAAATGTATAGATAGAAATACAAAAAAATCCACAGTTATATATTAGTTTTTTATAAATAATAATTTAACGATAGTGAATTGAACGTTCATATTAACTAAGAAATTCTGTCGTGTGTTACTTTAGATAATTAAAAAAAAATTATTCCGGTAAAAATCATTCATACACGGACGTCCAAAAAAGATTATGTTTAATGTTATTATTTACTATGTTAAACAAAAAAATTGTTTTTGAAATAAATTTTATGTGCCTAACAAATTGAATTATTTGACTTAATATAAGTGTACTCATATTAATCTGTAAGTGCAATATAAATAACAAAAAATCAATTTCAGTTTCGAGAAAACTGCTTTTTTTGAAATGTCGAGAGTAGAGCACAACCTCAACGCGTCGCTTATGAGGCGTGCAATACAATTCTAAATATTAATTTTTACAGTTTTTAAATACATTCCTTACAGAATTTATGAAAATTGAAAAACTTATTAAAAGAAAAATAAAAAAAATTGAATGAGAAAATAATTTCAATTAAAAATTTTTTTTAACAATAAAAAAAAGTTGTTTGTTAAACTAAAATATAACATCAAAGTTCTTTAATTTGATAGCCACTTAAAAATTATATTGGCGTTCATAGATGCCTATAAAACTCATGTCTATCTTTACAACCGGTGGTTTTATTAAACCATCAAGAGAAATGTGCTTTCTGAAGCAGATAGTCTCGAGCGCAGTAATTATTGCACAATAAAGTCTTTAATATTTTCGCTTTTTTCTCTATAAACATACTTCTTTTTTTTTTCTATTTCATTCATTTATTTATCAAATTCTTTACTTTCATTATAACTTTATAAATAACAGCAAAAGCAATATCAACTTGTTTAATGACATAAATGCGCTTTATATTAAATTTCATGAGTATGAGTAATCTCGCAGCTTTTAACGTACCCGTGACACTCTTAAACAAGTTCCTGCCAATAATGCTAATATTTACTCACTCGTAATCTTGTATTTTAATGACAAATCCATTAAATAAATATTTATCTTTATCTTTTAATTAAACCTCAAACTTTAGAATATTAATCAAATTTTATTCAACATGAATTACAATTAAATTTGTGAACTGATTAATTTATTAATTGAGCCTTTAATATAAAACAATACAATATAAAATAAAATAAAATAATTTTAATGCGATAGTATTTAAAACATTCTATTGTTCAGCAACAATTTAAATTACTCCGTTGAATTTCTATCCCGCGTACTTGTACTGTCGCTCGAGTACATTTTCTGAAGCTTGATTATAAATATATATATGTATATATTCAAGCTATTAATACTTAAACTATTTCGTGCATTCACCCATAATTCAAGAAATAAGAACTAGTAAAACTCTATTCATTGTACAGTACGTGAGAACAATTTGTTACTGGAATATCCGATCTCTCTAAAAGGACCTGACCTATTTTTTTTTTATATTCTTTTTTAAATATTCTCATCTGTCAGAGGAGTTAGTTACCAACCAGCATGTATCGCGTATAGTAGTTTACCTTTGAGTAAACAAGCAAAGTTTTTTTTTTGTTGTTAGTATAGAGCTTTTGTAAATTCATGATATGAGACATATCGTGGGGCGTAATTAGATCTCTGTCTTTTCATGTCGACCCGGAAACGAAACAAAATACCGGATTTTTTATTAAAACTCGAGGTGTTGTGCTGTAATAATCTGTAATTCTTCACTTTTTTACATTAAGGTAGTTGTTATGGTACAATATTGTCAAAAAATTAGAGATTATCGCGCCATAAAAGTATATGAGCTTGTAGCTGATTGTAAGTAATCCATAATTTTTACCCAAGAGTGTACCCGTGGAGATGTGTACTTTTTAATAAATTTTTGAACTTTAATCCGTTATTTATAAATAATTAGACGATTAAATTTTTTTTTTAAACTCATAACAAGTACATAAAAGTATTGTTAAGTTTTTGAAAGTTGGTTTTTTTTATAACTAAAACACTGGTACAGAATTGCAGAGAGCGTATACAATCAATGTTAAATATCCAATTTTTAATTGAATTCATTTCGGATTATAGGTTGGTCAATTGACTTAAAATTTTAAGGTCAATTATATCATCATGTCCGTAATAAGTATAAAAAAAATTTAGAATTTTTGACGGTATGCCTTAACCACAACTACCTTAAGAAAATAAATTTTTTGCCCAATTTTTTTAAATATTTAATTTTTGTAACGAAAAGTTAAAAATTATACAATTAAATTTTTAACGCCGAGCGGTCAAGTAACTAGTAGATCTTTTTAATTCAAGCCAACCGATGGACATTCCATCCTCGCTGAATGGTCGAGAGTTTTATTCTCTCTTCGCATACGATCGATGGGGGCCATCGAACTTGTTAAAAATTATATTTCAAATTTTTTCAATGAATTTTCACGAAATACGAAAAATTGAAGTTTAATATTTTCAGTCTAACTTCCTAAAATTATTTTTTCGTTAGATCTCGAGGTTTGAGGTCCTTAAAAATTATTTTGACTATTTTTTCATGTACGCTCTTTTGGCTTTAAAAATTTTTTTTCTTAAAGCCAAAAGGGCGTAAGTTGAAAAAAAAAAAAAGTTTTTTTTTTTTTGGGTTTTTCAACCATTTTACTTTTATACATTTCCAAGCTGATTGGAAAAAATAATTTTTTTCTACACCCTTCAGGCATTAGTTACGTGATATATACTTCTTGAAGAAATTAAATCTTCATCTTCACTGATAGAAAAAGTAACTTAATTGAAGAAAATTTCTGTTTAACTAAAAATAATTTCATTTAATATTCCGTTTAAGAACTTTTATAAATTGCTTCCATTCAAACATAATTTAAACTGTTGAAAATAAAAAATTAAAATATTGATCGTTGAAATAGTCTAATTTTGCAGTATTATTTAAAGCTTAGGTGGGAGTTACCAGCACTCACTGATTAATCGATTCACTGTAAATTAAACTTATAGGTGGTAATAAAAAATTCAAAATCAATGATTAACTTTTTATTGAGGTTAAACAACTAAATGATTTATTAATTACTATACCGGTGTTTTTATTTTTATTTTTAATTTTACAGAAGAAAGAGGAATGATAAATGGTGGCAACAAGCAACATGGTGTATGAGGAGATTGTGGGTGTTCGGGGCAGCTGACCTCAGCCCCCGCGCACTCTATTTACGCGCGACATGCCCCATAATTTAAATATTACGTCTGCAAACTCTGCTAATTCCGGGCCTAACCATCAGGCTTATCCTCCACCTCAACCTTATCATATTAATGATGGACTCCAACCTGAGGTAATTATCCATTGAGCTACAGTATTTTTCTGTCTTCATTAATTGTTAGTCTATATTATTAAGAGAATAAGCAAAATTTTGTAGCCAGTGTATTAATATGATAAAATGGGTTTTTATGGTTAAATTTGGTATCATTAGAAAGGTCTTTATCTGGAGTTGTACCTTTTCAAGGTTTCATATCATTCTCACCAATAGTCAGTTTATGATGATAAGTATTTAGGCTGCATTTTAATATGCTCTATCTCTAGATACATAATTAAGAAATGACCCTGTATCTCGTGAACTATTGACATTTCTTAAGATATAAGCTCATCCCGATGTTACACTCATCAAGACCTTTCATTTGAGTACCCACATCAATTTTTCATATATTTATATATTTATATATATATATATATATATATATTATATATATGTATATATGAAAAATATATCAAAAATACATGTGGGTACTCAAATGAAAGCTGTTGATGAGTGTAACATCAGGAAGAGCTTATATCTTTAAAAAGGTCAATAGTTAGGAAAGTACAGTGCATTTTAACGAATATCTTGTGAACTATTGACATTTTTTAAGATATAAGCTCATCCCGATGTTACACTCATCAAGA